GTCAGCGGTGATTTCGGAAAGGTACATCTAGCAGATGATGAAACCTTGAAGATCGTTGGTAAGGGAGACATCCGATTAAAATTGCCAAATCAGACCACATGGAAGCTGCAAGGAGTAAGACATATTCCTGGTCTTAGAAGGAATTTGATCTCTGTGGGACAACTTGATGGAGAGGGTTATTGTACAACCTTCTCGGGTCATGAATGGAAGATTACCAAAGGAGCACTCGTCATTGCTCGAGGTAAGAAAAGTGGTACTCTCTATATAACCTCTAACAACAGATGTAGATGAAAAATCAAACCTATGGCACTAAAGGCTTGGCCATGTGAGCGAGAAATGGATGAAGACACTTCTGTCAAAAGGGAAGCTACCGGATCTGAAGAATGTAGATGTCGGCCTATGCGAGGATTATATCTTTGGCAAACAGAAGAAAGTCAGTTTTGCAAAGATTGGCAAGACACCCAAGACAGAAAGGTTAGAATTGATTCATACCGACGTATGGGGACCATCTCCAGTTTCATCTCTTGCAGGCTCACTGTACTATGTCACCTTCATTGATGATTCTACAAGGAAGGTGTGGGTTTATTTTCTAAAGAAGAAATCAGAAGTCTTTGATACCTTCAGAAAATGGAAGGCCATGGTGGAAAATGAAACTGGTTTGAAGATAAAGAAGTTGAGGTCAGACAATGGAGGAGAGTACAAAGACAGTAGATTCAAAGAGTTTTGCGCAAACAGCGGGATCAAGATGGAGAAAACAGTTCCCATGACACCGCAGCAGAATGGCGTAGCGGAGCGCATGAACAGAACTTTGAATGAACGTGCCAGAAGCATGAGGTTACATGTCGGCTTGCCCAAGTTCCTATGGGCTGAAGCTATCAATACCGCAGCCTATCTAATCAACCGCGGACCCTCAGTTCCCTTGGATGGTGGAATACCGGAAGAAGCTTGGAGCAAAAAAGAGGTAAACCTTTCACATTTAAGAATTTTTGGTTGTATCTCTTATGTACACATAGATTCTGCTGAAAGAAGTAAACTTGATGCCAAATCTAACAAATGTATTTTTGTTGGTTATGGTGGGGGTGAGTTTGGTTACCGATTTTGGGATTATGAAAATCGGAAGATCATCAGAAGCAGAGATGTCATATTCAATGAGAATGTGATGTACAAAGATAGATCAACTGCAGAATCAAGTAGCTCCAGTACAAAAGCTGAAACAAAGGAATTTGCTGAATTTGAGGAGATTTCTGAAAATGATGTTCAAACAAGTCCTGAAGCAGTTCAAGAAGAACCAAGCACGCCAGAAGTGAGACGCTCCTCCAGAATTCCTAAGCCAACCCAGCGTTATTCGCCTTCTTTGCACTATCTGTTGCTGACTGACAGTGGTGAACCGGAGTGTTATGACGAAGCAATACAGGTGAAGGATTCAGTCAAGTGGGAGTCTGCTATGCAAGATGAGATGGACTCACTCATGTCAAATCAGACGTGGGACTTAGCTGAATTACCACCAGGTAAGAAAGCTCTGCATAACAAATGGATCTACAGGATCAAAGAAGAGCATGATGGGAACAAGCGCTTCAAGGCAAGATTGGTTGTCAAAGGCTTTCAGCAAAAGGAAGGTATTGACTTAAATTAAATTTTTTCTCCGGTTGTGAAACTGACTACAATCAGATTAGTGTTGAAAATTGTACCTGCTGAGAATTTACATCTTGAGCAGTTAGATGTAAAAACAGCTTTCCTTCATGGTGATTTGGAGGAGGAGATTTATATGAAGCAACCAGAAGGCTTCATAAAGGCAGGCAAGGAAAATCTAGTATGACGTTTGAAGAAAAGCATGTATGGATTAAAACAAGCTCCCAGACAGTGGTACAAGAAATTTGACAACTTCATGGGCAGCAACGGTTTCACTAGATGTCAAGCAGATCATTGTTGCTATCTCAAGAGGTTTGACAATAGCTTCATTATTTTATTGTTATACGTTGATGACATGCTCGTTGCAGGATCAGATCTGCAAGAGATTATAAATTTGAAGCAAAAATTGTCAAAGCAGTTCGCGATGAAAGATCTTGGTGCTGCAAAACAGATTCTTGGAATGAGGATCAAGAGAGACACAAAGTCTAGGACTTTGATGTTATCACAGGCTGAGTACATCAACAAAGTACTCTCCAGGTTCAACATGCAAGATGCGAAACCAGTGGGTACACCTTTAGGTGTTCATTTCAGACTTTCCAAAGAACAATCACCGAAGACAGAAGAAAAGCGCACAACATGGCGAAGTCCCGACCCTCACATATTGAATCTGATGTATCCATGGTCGTACAAACCGATATTCTCAACATGGAGCTGGTAGCAGTATATGAATGATCAGCAAGGTACCTGGGGAAGCGTCATGAATCCTCTCAATATCTCGAGCACTACAGGTAAAGCAACTGTTTCAAAGTTGAGAAATACAATAGCTAACAGGCGATGAGATCGATCATAGCAGGAATGTTGATATCAGAAGAGCACTATAGGATATAATACCTAGGAGTACTGCAGTGACGTTGGCTCTAACTGCAGAAGATAAGTGCTCCTCCACAGAGAAGCAAGAAATCGCTGTACAAAGCCAGCAAGGAAATCGTTGGCTTCAAAATTCTGGATGAATTAGCAAAAACAAAACAATGTTAATACTGTCGACAGGTAAAGTGCTATTCATCTAGAGAAGAACCGTCTTTCATCCAGAACAAGCACATACAATGCGTATCATTTACCGACTCTGGAAATGATTTGAAGCTGAAAAAATTAGTGAGCTCAAAATCGCCAGACATGCTGAAAAGACGGGAACTAATTGACAAACCGAAGCTGGTTCAGCTTCAAGGTGCCATTCCAATAGTATAAGACCTGGAAACTGCGGCATAGATCGAATGTTAAGCAGATAAAATCAGTCTTCAAGTGGGATGTAGTCCCAAAGAATGTTCAGACCACAGTGTCAAAGACACAAAAAAAAAGAAGTTTTTTTTTCAACCAACTCTCATCCACCGAAAGAGCCTTTGGCTCTTCGGCTTGCAATTCTCATGCACGCGAAAATCCAGAGAGAATAGTGCCGGCGCGTCCCAGAGTAAGAATATATGTACCTGCCACCGCGTGCCCTCACCAAATAAATATTATTGCATAGTTGTTTCCCAAAACTAATAAATAGGCCCCAAACCTAAGAAAACTCATCCACGAAAAACAACCTCCTCTTAATAGAAAAACAAGAGAAGAGAAAAGAGAAGGCTAGAGAAAATCTGTTGTGAAGAAAATTTATGAGCAATTTTCAGAGTGGATGAGTGTAAGAAAAATTGAGAGTGTGTAAAATTCTGCGGCAAATAAGTAGAAAGATCTGCACAGCCCGTGATCGTAGGCAATTTTATCCGAACGCACGTTAAATCTGTGTTGCCTCAATTTTGCGCATTTTATTTTTTGCTTTCTCTCAAATCTGGCAATAGGGGAATCAGGGTAATTTCCCAACAACCCCATTTCAATTAAATGAAAGAGAAAAACTACAAAAACCCAATATCAATTCCCTTCATAAATTACAAGAAAACAAGAGCACTATCTTGATTAAGACATTGATTTGGGTTAAGATATTCCGTAACTTAGAAAGGGGAGAACAACGATGCATCGGACCAAAGCTCCGGGCTCCGTCAGCTCGCGGGTCCCACCGGACCATGTTCCATGTTTGTCGTTGAACCCGCGTTCACGAGCTGTTTCCAAGATGACTCACCGACCTTCGACTCCATGACAACCGTCCTCGCCTTCACCTTCCACGACCTCCCCAGGGTCTGATCATTTTCAGTGGCCATGACGGAAGTGAGAGAGAAGAAGAAGTTGAGAGATAGAGGGGAGAGAGAGAGGGGGGGGGGGGGGGGGGGGAGAGAGAGAGAGAGAGAGAGAGAGTGAGATGAGATGAGATGAGGTTAAAGGGATGGGCGCAGTTACCAAGCTCAATCAAATCAAAGGGTAAATTTGTAACTTTTGTTGGGCATTTCTCAGGGTCCGATACTTTGGGGCCTTAACACAAATACAGTGTGTATTTGGGGCTTATACACATGGGTCAGAATACAAGGGGGCGAGTCACATGAACTTTCTACTTTTGGGGCATGGACACATTTTTCCCTATACTATTTGCAAATTTTGAATTTTTAATGGAGTTTTTATAATTTTTGAAATTATACGTCAAAATGTGCATGAATTTATGGGTAGACAAATGGGAAGTACTCCGCTCACCCATTTATTGCGTATGATAATAGAACCCACACATTTTAAGCCCAATTATCTAAGTGGGTGGGTTTAGACAGGCCAATTAGTGGGCAGGTATAATGGTCAATTGGGCATGGGCAAAACTTAGGCACTGTTTGGCAACAAGAGATTGTGCCTTATCTAAGAGATTGTATCTTATTGACTTGGTCAATAAGTTAGTAGAGCTGTTTGGTGACCAAAAATAGGAGGAGATTATTTTGGAGATTGTGTCTTTTGCAAGTAGCTTTTGGAAAGCTACCTCAATTAGCGTTTGTCTTTGGGAAGGAGCTGTCAGTTTTTTTTTCGTTTTTGCCCCTAATAATTCTAATTTTATATCAATAATATTACATGTCCTTTTTAGTTATTTAACAAATTTAAGCTAGTTGTACAGCTACTTTTGCCAAACAGCTCTAGTCAATCAACTAGCTACACAGCTATCAGCTTTCAGCTACAATTTCACAGCTTTCAGCTAGCTTAACAGCTTTCAGCTATAATCTCGTAGCTTTTATCGCTAAGCTGATTTAACAGGAAGACTGAAAATTCTGTGCCAAAGGGTTGGACTCCAGTAATAGTACTTGACGTTCAGTTGTGATTTGCTAATTCATTTCATAGAAGATTAATTGTTCGTATCATTGGTTGATTTTAAGACGACCAGCTCAAAAATAGTAGCAAACATACATGTATGTCCAATTCCATGCGAATCTACGTGACCCATATTCAAAATATATTTTGAGAAGCATGATTTCCAAGCTTATGTTTCATTGTCAAGATCTGAGATTCACTAAAAAGTTGCAAAACATCAACAGCAGCAGCAGCAGCAGCAGCAAACCAGAACTACTACAATTTTTCTCCCAGCAATTTTGAATAAAAATGATTGCAAAACAGAGAATTTTCTCGTTACGAACAAAAAATGCTCACTTACGCCCCTCCCTACTCCAATCGAAAGCATTTTATTACTAAAATGCCCGACGAAGCTTTACCGTTGCCTGACTAATGTACTGACAGGTCCAGGCCTTCAACTTACAGTGACGACACCAGGCTTCGTATTTATGTACATTTGATCTCCCTTTCCTTTAACCCAGAAGCTAGGGATTCTGTCCCTTTAGTTTGGTCTCCTCAAGCGAAAATAGACAAGCTTTTACCGATTCCTTGATTGTTAAGAACACCCATTCTGACCCAATTTGGTCGATTACTTTCGATCGCACTAGCTTATCTACGACTCTTATTCTAGGATTTGCTAATGCTAACTGCAACAACAGATGAAATTATGTTTTTCAGATTTAGTACAATGAGAAATGATTTACATGATATTTTGATGAATTTCAAATGAACGAAAATCTTTACCCTGATCCCTTTGATTTGAAGAGTGCGGTTGACTTCCTCAAGCATTCCGATGCCACTGTTGTCTATGGAACTCACCCCTGTCGCATAAGAATGAAAATTCATGAGTACCTCATATTTGGAACATTTTATCTTGGTAAATTCTATACTTTGGAAATTGTAAACCAAGTCAATCAGAGAAATTTTTTTTTTTTCATATAAACCTAGTTGAACAAAACGAATACTTCTCTAAGTTGGAAGTTAGTATGAGACTTGAGTTTGATGCAACCGTATGCATAGCTAGAAAAGCATATACTATTTTATAGTTCTGATACTATAAAATTAGCTTATTAGCTTATATTATCTAAATGAAACTTACCACTTAGATCAAGTATCACATATAACACTTCTTCACTATTCTTCTTCGCAATGTTGTCTTCCTCTTCTAACCATCTTGATATCCTAGTTAAACATAAGCAGAACGGACGGCAAAGGTTACTTCAAAAAGCAAGAAGCAAATCAATCTAAACAAAAACAAAAGGGGAATTTTTTTAACCTCTCTCTCAAGTAGCTGGCATTAGCAAAATAGACTGGAGAACCAAGTTGAAGGATTAGAATGCCAGGGACGCTAGCTGCATCTGGATACTGCTCAATATCGCGATATATTTCCATTCCATTTAGATTTGAAATTTTTCCAAGCTTGCAAGCATGAGGTCTGGCCACATACACCAGTGCTCTAACTATTGACAGAGCAACCTGAAGAATGGTAGAAGGCGATTTTATTCCTCAAGAATATGCTGGCAATATTTTGTGAGCAAATGTTATGTTGATATTAAGAGCAAGATTAATATCGAGCGTTACTTGGACAATGTATTGTTAATTGTTCTTGTATCTGAAAGAAATATTTTTGAGCAATGTTTACTTATTTCATTCATGATTTTGTATCGATCAAGTATGAAACAAACAACAACCCTATTTTTTAAAACAGAAACTTTTTGACTTCAGTAAAAATATTGTGCTACATATTTGTTTTTTAATCCATTCATGACATATTCTTAGCAATTAACCATTCCCCCTTAAAGGCCCTAGAACAGAATTCCTCGAGATAAAGAAAAAAGGATTAATTGTGGATAGACCCGCTGTGGTGTTGTCGTTTGAACTAACTACCTCTAGTTTCATTTTTGCAGATAGATCCCATAGTGAACTTTGTTTGACTCTTTTATCCTAAAAGAAAAAATATTTTTTTCCACAAATAGACCCCACGAGGGCCAAAGAGTCATTAATTCACTTAGGGGGTCTATGTGCAAAAATATAACTAGCAGGATGGCAAGTTAAAATTTACGATACTACAGGTATTCGCAATTACCCCCAAAAAAGGAGAAGGCATTAACAATTCTCTCATGCTTTACATTCATATAACTGAGATAGACATCATTACATACGTACCGACATCATGAGCCCAGTTTTCATCTCGGAGAAGATGACACCAAGAAACGCAGTCATGCAAATGACAAAATCAAACTTATCCACCTTCAGCAGGCGATATACTTCCTCATACTCAATAAGCCCAATCATGGCAGTTATGATGATTGCAGAGAGAACCACTAGAGGAGTGTACTTAAACAGAGGAGCCAAGAGAAGTAGAACCAACATCATTATAAATGCTTGCACGATATTGGACATTTGTGATCTTGATCCAGCATGTGCATTAACAGCAGACTTTGAAAAAGGCCCTGCATAGCAAAAAAACGGACTTATTTAGGAATTATTACTCGAAAATGCATGAGATGAAAATAATTGACTGAGACCTCATTAATCTAAAAAGCCTACTTGTTAGGTCTTAGATCACAATCACATATGAATTGGTCATATCCCTGCCTCATTTCTGATGTGGGACTAAATGTTAGCTCTACCCACCTCTTGTCTGTTATTTGTAATATGAAGCAACTACATGCGATATATTTTCGGGTTATTTGCGGATATATAGACTCCCAGGACCATAAACAATTTCTAAATAGACCCTATGTAGTATTTTGTTGCAGATAGATCTATGAGTGAAATTGTTCTCTCTTACCCTCAGAGAAAGAGAAAATTGTTTTGTGATGAATAGGCTGATGAGGGTAAACGAGAGTTTTTCACTCAGGGTCTACCTAATAGAACTACTGAGGGTCTATCCACAACTAAACCTATATTTTCCATTTCTTATGACAGAAACTTGTTAGATAGAAACGTAAAGGAAATTTGCTCATCAGATTGCTTTCTCTTTCAACAAATATATTTGTTTTTAATTTTCGAAGGCAGAAAGGCATACCAGTAGTCAGATAGCAAGAAAAGAAGGAACCAACAATATTCATCATCCCATAAGCTATCATCTCCTTGTTCCCATCTATTTGATCATTTGTCGCCTGTGCCAAGCTCCTACCAACTGCAATACCTTCCTGAAAAATTTACATCAACATTATAAATAATGAAATTTTATACATCCATAATTTAAAAAGTTCTTATAAAGAAAATAAATATAAATACCGCTAGAGCTATGAATCCTGCAATAACTCCGGCTTTGAAGGCGAGGTCAAAATGTTTTGATCTGAACTGCAATTTCCCTATGGAGATTGGATTCAGCCCTCTTTTCAATTCGCCAACCTAATAGCAAAATCATCTATCAACGTTTAGTACCATAACTCAACACAAAAACTACTTAATGTATTTGGTGACAATTCAGAGCAAAAAAATGAATCAAAGCACTTAACAATAGGGATTCCATGATTCTGTCCATGAACTAGAAAAGCGAAGATTCCGCCAATTATGACCAAAAGCAATGGAGTGATCGCTGACACCCAGAAAAGTTTCGGAGCTGCTTTTCTCTGCGTAAAATTCAAAAAAAATATTTTTAAGTAAAATGTTGAAATAACGAAAAGAGATTAATAATATGTGATTGGGTCTTTATAATTAACTTTGCCACTTACCAGATGCCTAGTGACAAGCAAGATGCATAGGAAGATTATTCCAAGAACAAAACTCTCCCATCTCCACTGAAACATACAATTAGATATTAAGCAAATCTAATCAGAGATTGATTCAGTACATTAGAAAGAAGCTTAATTATTAAAATAAATTTACTGAAAAAAAAATGAATTTGATGCTCTTAATCCTCCAATTAAATCGGTCCAATTCACAACATCAGAAGATCATTCATATATGCTTATTGGATTTACCCACCAAATATGCCATTGATGTCATATTCCCCCACAAAGAAAAGAAATAACAGCTATATTTGATGCATCTTCCAAGTTCCTTTTCAGAACATTATGTGGCACTTCACAAAGAAAAGAACAAAAATGTGGCGATAAACATTAAGATCAACTGATCAATTCTTCTTTTTCTCGTTCTTTTTAAATGCGGTAGATAAATTGCTTCCACCCTCTGCAAGGGTACGGTTAATTGAACATAGGCTCCGAGTAGTATCACCAATTTGAACTTATTACCCCTGTAGTTTCGTTGTTGAAGATAGACCGGGGTCAGAATTTGTTCTGAATATTTTACCGTCAGATGTACTTAGAGCCAATATCTGACAAAACCTCGCCGATGGTAAATGAGTCAAAAAAAAAAAAAATCAACCCAGAGTTTTCAGCAGCGATAAGGCTACCGCGATAGTAAGTGCAAAACTGAGGTACTACAGTGAATTTATGTTGCGCAATTATCTAATTTCATTTCATGTTGGCCACAAAAACTTCTACAAATGCAAGAAAGTGCTCAATAAACTCACATCTTTCCTATACAAAAAGACTGCGTGCAGAACCGAGACAACATCTGTATGCTGCGTAAAATGCGTCATCCCGAGCAGTCCCTTCAACTGTTGCAATATAATGATGATCGCAGTTCCTCCCATGTAACCAGTGATTGTTGACCGAGCCAAGAAATCAATCAATATACCAAGCCTGAAATTAAACATACACCATCAGCAAAGAGAAGAACAACAATTTTTTTTATCCATTCTTTAAAAAAAAAAAGAAATTTTAGGAACCTGAAAACTCCCATTGCCAGCTGAAATATCCCAGTGATGAATGCTGCAGTGAAGAACAACTCCAAATACAACTGCGGCTCGTCTCTCGGGTGTACCTCCCACCGCCAATTGTTTCGAGCTTCCAAAGATTGCGTAGACGATAGGCGGAACAAAACTCGAATCTGTCAACAGATGATAATGACAAACAATGATAAAGATGTTATTTAAAAAAAAAAAAAGCAAGATGGCTCATAAATCAGGACTCTAACACAATATTATATGCGTGGCACATATGGAATAGTGATAAAAAAAATATCATGTGACAGAATATTACCAAAAGGGTGATTACAATTTTTCACTGAAAAGAATAAACTACTACTGCCAGTAACTAATAAAACGTAAGAAGACTACTGAAAATTGAGTACCACCCAAACTTGTAAATTCAAAATTAATTAAACGAATTAAAAAAAAAATCAAAAGTTTCAATGCCAGACTCCCAAAATAAGGTACTTGCAGCAAACAGATTTCATAGAGTCACATCTAAATGGATCAACAAGGCCCAAATTTTGACGCGAAGCAAAGAAATTTTAGGTAAGAAAGCTGCGTACATGCGACAATAGTAATGACAGCAACAATGATGCTGCCGACGTCAAACAATATAGGCTAGGAAATCCGTAAAAATGCTTGGGTATTAATTCCATGAAAACAAATCCGTCTGTACTAAAATTTTAATTTTTTTTTAAATTTTTTATTTTTGGAGTGTGGAAACTCACATAAGCCAACAATTGGAGGGAGTTCGGCGAGCCGAGCGTAGCTAATCCCCTGAGGGATAGCAAGGCTAGCAATGGTAACACCAGCAAGCAGATCATATCGGAACTTTGCGAGACTGTATTTGGGGACCCACTCTAAAATCGGCACGTAATATTGCAAAGCGGACCAAGCCCGCCGCCCCGCCGACTGGTCCTTGAAAGCCCGGAAAGGGTCGTCGGGGAAGAAAGCCTCTTTAAGATCCGCCGCGAGCGACGGGCCGAAAGGCCTCTTCTTGGTGAGATCAACTCTAATGCTAACTTCGTTATTGACATCATTAAAATTTTCTGTTCCCATTAATTATATTGAAAATGAAAATTCAATTGATTTGGGGAATGGAGAGAGAGAGAGAGAGAGAGAGAGAAGCAAACGGCTTGGAGGAGGGAAGCGGAGGGTATTGAGGGAGGGGAGTGGTTAGTTATGGCTTTCATGGGGGGAGTGGTTTATATAGAGGGCTTATATGGATCCCACGTGACACGTAGGCATCATGGGCTCGATGATTTGGATCTAGACATTTGGGACGTGGTTAGTTTTTTTTTTTTTTTTAAATCCAAAATATCCCTTTTATCGGGGAGAGGAATTTGGAGTGGATTAACATTTAACAGATAAGATTAGTGTAAATATTCCTCAAATTTGGGTGTGCTTTGGTCCTTCCTTAATCGAGAGTTTGTAGCAAATTATCGTCGTGAATGTTAAAGACCTGATCTTGTTTGGAGTCAAGAGAGGAGAGATTTATAACGACGTTTACATTTTCACAAAAATGTATTATTTTGAAAAGGCTTTTGGATACAACTTTATCATCTATGTTTCTGGGGATTATAAGATGAGAACATGAAACTGAAGCGATTTATTACGAAAAGGCAAAGACAAGAATGATACAATTTGCATTTGTTCGAAGTCGCTCGTTTTAAATAAGGCTATTTTGATAATCCATTTCTGTGGATTGGATTAGGGAGCATTTTCCATGGAAATGATTTATTACAAGAAATTAATAGGAATACTTTTAATTTGTATCTAAAATTGATTTCTTTTCCTCCTTTTATTTTATAAGTACATGCATTACGCCCCATTCAAAAATGAATAAATAAAGAATCTTACGTATCTATATATTAGGATTGCTGGGATCCACAATCTATATACTAGGATTTTTAAGATTTTAGCTTACACTTGCCTCTAAATAAAAAGGATTTTGGAGTGCAAGAAAACAACTACCAATCCAATCCGATGGCGTGTTGCTTTTCTAGCTAGCAAGAAGAAAATCAATGCCTCTCACAATCTTCTCGACTTGAAACAGTTGGATAAAATTTTATTCACTCAAATGTCAAAAGAAATAAATTCAATTAATGCGAACAACGTGCGTAAGACTATTGACCATAAATAGGTCTCCTTTGCTTCAACTGCCGTTGCAAAGTTCTTCACGAATCATGAGTCAAAGACTGCATTTGGGCACATGCAACTATGCAAGATAAGATGGGATAAATAAAAAAATAAATGAATTGAAAGCCACAAATTAAGATGAACCAAAAGACAAAATAAACCTAGTCGTCCATATATAATTGGGTACTTCGATTCTTCTCTTGAACCCTGAACATGCCTTAAATATTCATTTCTAAATCACTGTTGAGAGAATGTATGATCAATCACTGTTTCATAGCAATGACATATCATTATATCCTTCTTGATAAGCTCAAATCACACGGCATGCATCGAATATGTTTATATAGGGGAACTTCTTTACTTAGGATAACATAAGCAATATATATGCCTACTTTATAAGCTGCTAATTAATGGGAGGAACCTCTTTGCTTATAACTCTATGTATGGTTGGTTATAGCAATGCCTATATATCATATTATTCTTCTAGGAGTGCATTCGGTTTTAATACGGCTCGGATATGATACTTACCATATTCATATCAGATACAGATGTACGTTGGCAAAAAAAATTCATATCCATATCCGCTAAAATCAGATACGGATATTGATATACATGCGGATATATAAGCAGATATGCATACAGATATAAAATGGATATGAGAAAACTAGATACTGTTAAAAAATATAGTTCATGTGATACGAAAGAGTTCATTAATATGTTCATTATATCTGAAAAGCTAAGATTAGATATATTGATCATCAAAATTAAACTCAAATCCATAATCTAAAGACTAAATCCATAATCTAAAATTAAGAAAATGACTAATATGTATTCGGATATTTTGGATACGTTTCTAGACATTTCACTACAAAATCATATCCGTAACCATATCCTATTAGTTACAGATTTGAGGAACTATATCCATATTTTAACGGATATAGATACAGATATTTCATCGAATATGGATACAGTTTAGCACCCCTAATTCTCGGACATGATTGCAATAAAATTTGAAAAGGGAAAAGGCAACTTATATGCTCATGAAGTTCAAAAGATGTTTGGATCTTGATGTTTTACATTTTCCAAAATTTTCATATGTTTGAATTAGAAATGACTAGTGTTTTAGCCCGTGCTAAGCACGGTCTTACCATAATTTATCTATATTTTTTCGCGTTTCAATCACTCTCATTTGAATATAATTTTTAATATCTAATGACTCACCCCCCTTCGAAACACGCGAATCCCACTCCCACACACCCCTAATATTGAGGTTAAATAACATGTATCCGCCTGTAAATAACGATACTAAACAACTTATATAAACTCTATAATTAAAATTAATATCATTTAAACTAATTTTTTATAATAAATGAATAAAATGTAGACAATCAAAATATCCTAAATGAAACTTGAATGAAATTAAAATATAAGATAGTTTAATATTCAAAAACATTATTTGCAAATGATGCGTCACCAAAAAAAGTTCTCAATCAATCAACAATCATAAGATTTAATAAGCAAAATATAAAGAAAAAACATAATAATTTGTAATTATTTTTTTCCGTCTTCATACTCTTCTTAAGAGTTGAAAGAGCTGGTTCTTTGTCCATTTCTGAAAAATAAAAAATATGTTCATATACTAAATGTAATAATTAAAAATTATATATTAAAATTAATTAATGTATACATAAACCAACCTAATTGTATCTTTATTTTTTTTCACTGGTTGTAAGTAGGCTTTTGAATGAAGAAGAATCAAGTGCAACAATAGGTGAAACATCTAAAATCTTCTTTTTGCCTTTGCTATTAATGGTGGATATCGGTGTGGATAAGTCTAGAGTTAATTCAATAGATTGATTATCAACAGCACAATCCTCATTCAATTCAATTGGTTTCTCACGCTGTGATAATAATACATTCGTCTTAGAACAACATGTTAATGATTTAATTTTTGAAATGATGAAACTAATAATATATTTACCAAACACCTTCTTCTTCAAATTTTTATCAATAATATTTTCAGGTGTCGATAAGTCTGGAGTGTATTGAATTGATTGAATGTCATCGCCATCAACTAGCGTCATATCGAGTGATTTATCATCCTTTAATAAAAATAAATTTAATATTACAATAATGAATACATTGCAAACTATTGAAGAATATAAATTTATTAAAAATATTATGGAAATTTTATCTTTCCGTCAGTTAGTAGTAACAACCCATTGAGTTTTTTATCATTTACATCATCGTTAATGATTTTAATAACCGCGTAGTCTTCAATGCATTTGTTTGTGTTAAATTATGTAACCTTAACATGGAAATGCATATTTCTACCAATTAATCTCTTGATTGCAAGTGGAAACTCCTTGTTGTCTGAATCCCGTTTAAGCAAATATATATTAGTTTTCAATTTCATCTATTAAATTAAAAGCATATTAAAATTATAATATAATTTTGATGTAAATTACCAAACACATCGAAGATGCTAATTCTGAAGGACCAATTTTCATCAAATGAAGATCATCATGATGGAATATTACAAATGTAGTGATACATGTTCCATCCGTCACTTGTAAGGTAAGTTTGTACCTAAACTTAAATACATATTTGCATTGTATACTGGTTATCTAATATAATTTTTATAAACTTTAATAATATAATACAACTATAAAATTGTAAGTTTAAATTCAAAAATTCAATAAACGATAACAATTATATAATGTAATGTTTCGAAATATTAGTGTACAATGTACCTTTCCCTCCATGATGTTGATTTTCGACGCTATAAGTATCAACGTTAATATGATCCTGATTCTTAGCAGACGGTTTAACAGGCATCACTTAATTACTTATATTTCCAAGAGGACGTCTCGCAAAGGTAGATTGATCCAGAATTTTTATAAAATATATTTACGATAATTTCTAGCTTCCAGCTCTTTATATCAACTCTATTTTCTTGATCATCTAAAGCATTTATATTACTTCCTCGTCTTGATCTTATAATATGAAGGCGTTACATACGCCGAAACTTGGATAAATGCATACTACCTTCTATATCTTCCATATTTTGACAGAGACCTAAGTTAATCATGAAATCCAAAGATGTTGATATAAATGCAGTAAATAAATTATTTTGGTAAAAATGTATGGTAAAGCTAAATAAATTTAAATTCTAAATATTGTAACTTAATTATAATATATATTTTAAATATATGTATGCATTTTTTAATATTTAGAATATTTTGGATAATATCTTCAGTAATCAATTTAAATCATATATTTATATATAAAAAATTAATTTATAATAAAATATTCACTCGTTATAATTTATTTACAATATTTTCCAATATTAATAATTTGTTACAAAATATTGTAAATAAATTATAATATATGAATATATGATTATAAATTGATTTTTCTATACGTGAATATCTGATTTGAATTAGTTACTAAAGATATTGTCAAATATATTCTATAAATTAATAAATCCATACATATATATTTAAAATTTTATGGTACGTTTAAATACAAATAAAAATTATAAATAATTCTAATTTCTTTTTAAATACCTTACAAATTAACTTCAAATTATGACATACAAATAGAAAAGTTTAAAAAATAAATACCAATTTTATACTATAATTATTGTAATATTATTAAAAAATTCATATTTTGTCAAAACTGAAAATATAGTTACTTTAAAATTAAAATATTTCTAAGAAACCGATTTAAAAAACTTTAAATATTTTAAAAAAATTAGTTTTTCAAATATATAAAAAATTAACTTCCTAAAAACATATACAAATAAAAAAATCTTTAAATGATATATATTAAAAATTAACTTACAAATAACTTATAAAATTTCTATAATTGAAATATTTAAAATATATTTATATTATCAAAAATTAACTTCCAAATTACCAAAATATAAGAATTTAACTACAAATTATATAATATAATTATTATAATATTGTTAAGAAAAAAATTTATATTTTTTTCAAAACTCAAATACTTTTTTGTTAAAA